TGAGACTCTAGATCCTGAAAAACATAGTAGGGAGGAAAGAAGGTTACACAGCAGTTCAATGACTTAGTTAGGTTACTTACAAATAACAAATTTGTATTTAGCTTGGGTACATGAAGAGCAGAAGGAAGTACTAAGGAATCTGTAGCATTTATGGTTCCCTTTCTGGAGATAGGGGCAAGAGAGCCATCGGTTAGGGTGATTTTGTCACGGCTAGGAAGTAAATCATAAGAAACAAACAAAGTGGAAAGGCTGGTCATATGATCAGAAGCACCACAATCAATAATCCAAGGGATCCTACGATTAACTGAAATAGCTGCATGATTGGTAGAAGCCCGTATACCTGAATGAGCAAATGTAGAAGAAGTTGAATTTCCTGGAGGGTTGGAAGAAGGGGCCACACCCTCTAGGTGATCAATCATCCTTCCAAACTTCCCATACTCTGCCTTCATAGCTGCTAATTGCTCACTAGCAGTCATTTCTTCAGTTAGGTATCTGTCACTATTTGGACCAGTAGCAATATTGGCACTCCCTGCCTTCATATTATTAGACTTCTTTTGAAACCGAAGAGGAAGAAGCTGAGGATGCAATTTCCAACACTTGTCTTTAGTGTGTTTTGGCTTCTTACAATACTCACAAATAATTTCTTTCTTCCCTGAGCTACTTGGAGTCCTTGCAACTCCCTTGGGTTTCACTCCCATTTTAGCAAAGTGATCATTTAGACCAGCCCCTTGAACCTGGACAAGTCTCCTGCTTTCTTCACTACTTACCAAGGCATAGGCTTGAGACAGTGAAACACTATCTTTGGATAAAATATTTTTCTTTGTGATGTCATACTTTGGATTCAACCTTTTCAAAACTCAAACACCCTGTTTCCCTCAACAAGTTTCTTGTAGGTCTCAGCATCATTAGTGGTGTCCCAGGCTACAGCTTCTTTCAAATCAATTTCTTGCCATAAAGACTTAAGTATTGAGAAATAAACAGCTAAAGGTTTCTCCCCCTGTTTCAAATTCTTCACATCAATCCTCAGCTTGTAAGCCCTGGCCACATTTAATTTATGGGAATAGGTTTCAACAACACTATTCCAAATTTCCTTTGCTGAATTCATCCACAAATAGTGTTGACTAATTTGCGGTTGCATTGAGTTCACAAGCCATCCAATAATAGTATAATTTTCTTGCTTCCATTTTTCATATGATGGATCATCTTCCGAAGGAGCCTTTTTGCTCTCGGAGATAAAACCCCATTTGCCTCTATTGCAGATATGAATTTTTAATGATTGTGACCAAGCTAGATAATTAGTTCCATCTAGCTTGACTGTGGTCACAGCCAGTAGAGAGTTTATAGAGGCTCCCGGAACTTGTTCGGATTTAGCAATATGCTTGTTTTCAACTTCTGAAGGGTTCATCTTCTTAAAATACTTCAAAAATAACTTCTAACAATTTCGAATAACAACAAATGAAGACAGAAAAAAAACTGTGTTGTGAGCCAACCTCTATGCAGCCATACCAGCTACCTGCATCACACCCGGAAGCCGGGAGAAACAGAGGAATCTCAACCGCTCCTTGTAGACTTCACAGAACACCAATCCACTTGAATCGATCTTCAAGATGAAGGATGAGAAGACTTTAGTCACTGAGCGCCCAGGTCAAACTCCCTGTGGGGCTCACAATCAGATTTCTCCAGAAAATTAGGGTTTCGGGCAACACACTTGAATCCATCATGACGACGACAAAACCAGTCCCCTTCTCTCCAAAAACCACTAACAAGTGGGCTGAAATAGGTTTCTCCAACTATTCATACAATTGAGTTCTCCATACACATTGTGTTATGGGAAAAAAGAGGTGAAAAAAAAGGAAAAAGTCGAGCCTGCTCTGATACCAAGAAGAAAAACAGCCTTTTGAAAAGAAAGTACTGTTTAAAAAGTTGCAGAAAATCAAAAGGAAGTAGCAGAAATCATGTTAAGAAGAAGGTGGCGGCAACTAGGGTTCAGAGAGAGAGATTTTCGAACATAACCTTATCTCTTACACCCCTAATTCCATTTCATTAAGTTAAACTTTTGTAATTTACAGAGAGGCCCCTAATCGGGCAGAAAATTAAAAAACATAACATAAGAAAGAATAAAGCCCAGATCAAGGCCCATTACAACAAAGAACATAAAAGATAAAAAAAGGATAAACAGCCTATGGGCCATTCGGCCCATCTTCTCTACATTTATATTTCAGAGCAGGGTGATACAGCGTGGGTGTTGGACTTAGAGAGGGAGTGTGACTTAAGGTTAGGTTGGTGGTTCCCAGTGGCAAGGGTGATTCTTAATGGAAGGAGAAAAAGAGTGGTTTGGATTGGTCTGGTGGGAATTCCTTTGCATGCTTGGGGTCCAACAACCTTCAAAAAGATTGGAGATAGGTGTGGAAGGTTCCTGAGCTTTGATGACAAAAATAATAGTTGGGAAAAGATTGATTTTGCAAGCATTCGAGTGGAAGTTGAAGACTTGGCCAAGATACCAATTAATGTGGAGTTGTATTTTGCAGGGGAAACTTATGACTCATGCTTGTTTTTAGAAGGGGAGAACTAGACATTTGGAGGGTGGCAAAGAATTGTCACTTTTGTGTGCTGCTCAGAGATTATGAAGGAGAAGAAAGAGGCTAGGAGGGATGAGGTCCTTCCTCTTAGTGCAGTTTCTGTTGGGAAGGTGAAGGGTCATTTGGAGGTTGAGGACGATGGATTGGAAAGATTGGGGGTAAAAACATAATTTTGGTAGGAGGGGGGTGAAATTGTCTTTTTTAATGATAGTTGATAAGATGGGAGAAGTTGAAGAGATTGGGGGGGGGGTTGAGAGAGGGAGGTGAACAATTATTCCCAATCTGTCTACAGGTGTGACAATCAAGCGGATGAGTTACATGGCTTTAAACGAAGAGGTCTTGGGGTGAAGTCTAGTCAAGGTAAGATGGTTCAAAGGCTGGTGATTATCTTGGTGAGTTTTTTATGCTCGTTCTCTTGATTCTTGTTAGCTAGTGGTGAGATACATTGGCCTTCTGGAGGTTAGCTAAAGGTGGTTGGAACTGGAGTTTTGTCACAAGAGCCAGATGTTCAATTGTTTGGGCCTTGTCTAACACCTGCTGTTGTTGAGCCAGTTCAGAAGATTAGGACGAAGTTGTTGGGTTGAGTGTTGGTTGTTTACAAGGGGCAGAGGTGAGGGAGCTGGATGGGTTCAGAGATGGGATGGTTTCAGTTGCGGAGGTGGTGGAGAGAGAGAATAAGGGTAAAGTAGATTGGTAGAAGGAGATGAGGTGGAGGGGGATGTTGGGGGGTAGAGAGTAGTTATTACTGGTTTTTTGGAGTTTGACTGTGTCGAGCCTGCTCTGGACAAGGAATTTGAGATGATCGAGTTTGTTGCTTCGTCGTCTGATTTGAACAAATCTAGAGCTTCAATCAAAACCCATACTGTGCATGCTACTATTTTTTTTGTCTGAAAGATGGATTCATTGGGGCAGGTCCAACCAAGAAATTTAAAAAAATTGTAGAAAAGAAAGGGGGTTAAATCTAGTGGTTTGAGAATTGAGACTCGATGTTCCTGGTGGGGATAGTCAGGATTTGCAGGATCCTGAAAGAAAGTTGGATCTTTTGGTGTCTCCTCCTGGGGAGAGTCAATAATAGTGGAGGTTTGGAGGAAAAGAGGAAGGAAGCTAAGAAGGTGGATGGAGAGGTGGTGTCAAAAGGGGAGGAGGTGTGGATTTAAAGATGCTTGTTGATAGGGAGGTGGAGGTCTTTGGGTTTGTTCTTCTTGGGAGGTTAGGCTTTTTGCTAGAAGAGCTTTTGAGGAGTTTGAAAAGAGGAGGAAGGATGGGATTCTTGAGAAATCCATAATAGGGGAAGGGGGAGAAATTTGGAATGTGGAAGGAGGGGTGGAAGAATTTTTCGATGCTAAGGATCATAGACGGACTAAACAGCAAGCTAGTATCAGATGGACATTCAACTTGAGTTTGTCTAAAATTGTATATTCTGGCTTCGGATATTTTCATGTGAAGGCCTTAATTTTAAGAAAAATAAGTTTTGGGAGACTTTATCTAATTGAAATTGGAGAGTTCTGCTCTGTTTTATATCTCCCTTGCATCAATTATTTGTACCATTGCCGGATTTCTCAAATTCTCAGTTTTGTTTCATTCTAAACACCCCATTGCTTTTTGTTTGAAGTTTTTAGCTTCTCATTTTTGTGTAATTATTACTGGTATGTTCATTAATATATATATATATATATATATATATATATATATATATTTACTTATTTCAATTGAGTAACCATATTTTGAGTAGATTTTACAATACTATTTTCTATTCTTGATCTTTATTATATCATTTTCTATACTCCATTTTTATTGTATGGCACCAAACGGTTTCTCAATGAACTGAAATATTAAATAGGAGATGTTAAATGAGGAATGGAGTATAAATCTTATATTATCTATTGCTAGATAATTGAACAAATGTAATTGGCACTTCCAATATATTGGATCATCCTCATCATCAATTATATGGGATCGGCTGCATTGACCCTGTTCTGCCTTCCCATTCTGTTCAGTGCCATATCAATTGATAGCACTTAAATTATTGCTCACTAGTTCTACCCAATTTATTTCCTCTGTATTTTTCATTTATCCTAACCAAAGTAGAAATGCAAAGACAAAGGGAACAGAATGATTGCATTTGAAAGAGTGGGACATGATAGCAGTATTGATCTAAAGTTTCTAAAATGGGTAAGCCATGTTGACAATGGTTAATCATAATATGTTTCAAATATTCTTTTCCATAGCGCACATGAGTTTTGAAACAAGGCATACTTAAAAAATCCTGTTTGCCATGTCACTTTGGAGTTTTGCTCATTTAATTCTCTATTTTATTCTTTTCTGTTATGGTTTTCTGGAATTTTTATCCATTCTAGGATTTCTTTGTGATCGCTTTATGCTTTGGTTGTTAATTTCTATGCATTTTGATTTGTTGTCAAGGTTGAACCTGAAGAATGTGATGTATATTCCTGTTTGCTGTTAACTACTGTCATTTGTTGGCTGAATATGTTTTTGGTTGATTGTGTCATAACCTGGCAATCTGCAATCAAGGTACATCTGTTGTCCCTTCCATATCAAATTGTCTTATTTATAGTTTCAATCAACATGGTAATTTAACTGTGGATTGTTTGAATCTCCATCCTTGTTAAGTCATGCTCCTTTGCAATGTAACTTCAATAAAATTTTGAAAATGCAGGTTCATGGAGATTAGGGTTCTCTCATGGGTGCTGATTTCTACTTCTTTGGCTTTGCTTTTGAGATTTGTCTTGGTAGTGGCCAATGGAAGAAGGAACAGAAAAAAAGCTGTTGGTTTCTTCCATCCTTACACCAATGATGGTGGAGGGGGAGAGAGGGTGCTATGGTGTGCTGTGAAGGCTATTCAAGAGGGAAACCCTAATCTTAACTGTGTCATCTATACTGGTGATCATGATGCTTCTCCTGAAAGCTTGAAGGCTAGGGCGGTTGATCGATTTGGAGTCAAGCTTCTTTACTCACCCCAGGTAACATCAGTTTGGTTTGGTTTGACTTATGCTTAGTTTTTAATGGGATGAAGTTGTAATAATTTAGTTCGTTTAGTTGATTTAGGGATGTAATTGGGGTTTGATTAGAATCGAGAACCTAATTGACTGTTTGGTTTACGCATTCTAACAAAATGAACCAAACTGAATTCAATTCGGTTTGGTCCAGTTTTTTTAGTTTGTTTGGTTTGGGCCCATTAACAAGCCTGTTAAGTTAATAAATAATATTATATGTATTAATAAATATTATATTATATATATACATATATATATATATACATATACATATATATATATATATATACTTATTTGGTTTTTGGTTCGGTTTGGTTGATTTTTTTTGCCAAACTGAACCAAAAAACTGAAACCAAAATTTTGTTAAAATTAAAACCGAACAAAAAACTATATAAACTGAACCGAATCTGTTTATTCCGTTTGGTTTTTGATTTGATTGATGAACATCCCTAGCCCTTACCAATATTGGTCCTGGCTATTGTTTATAAAATATGTTGGTCCTAGCTATCTGTGGTCTTGGGAGGGCTAGGGATGTATCGCATATGGATGAATCACTGTTTAGAAAACCGGACTAGACCAGCTGGTTGGATTGGCTCAACCGTGATTAGGGCCCTTGGCCAATTCATTCATACCCTGAAAACCGTTATTTAGAAAAATCAACTGACTGGCCGGTTTAATTGGGAAACCGGTGAACCTGTCCTGGTTTTATGAAACTGCCTGGGTTACAACCTGACTACAAACTCCAAAATGGTAATGAAAAGACTTGAACCCAAACCTCTTATTTATGTGTAGTATCTTGTTACCATTAATCAATGCCTTTATTTGTGCTTCTTTAATGTATATATTGCTTTAATACACACGTGCTTTAAAGAAAATGTGAGTTAAGAGACTTGAACCCTGATCATTTATTTTATTTAAAAACTTAAAAGGGTACATTACAAAGCCCCCTTGTACTATGGGGTTAGTGGTAATTACCCCCCTGAGCCTTCATTTGCGACAAAGACCCCCCTGAACTTTCACTTTGCGACAAATACCCCCTTTGTTAGAGTTCTGTCAGCTAACTTCAAAAAAGATTCTCATTCAGTTGTTTAAAAATTTTTAAATTCCCAAACTACCGTTTTCTTATTTATTTGAATGATTTATGATTTGATTATTTTTCTAAATATAATATTTGTCTTCTTGGTTGCTCAAATAGATCCTTGCAGATTTCTAGCTGGATTCAATATTCAGATGAAATGGTAGAGGTTTCTTTTTGATAGATATAAGTTTACGGTTTTGTTTGGTTTTTCTTGGTTTATTGGAGGAATGAGTGGATAATTTTTATATTTTAGGATGAAGAGAGACATTCATATCAGTGAAATGAAACAAGAATTTAAAGAAACTTGTTTTTCTATGTCAGTGAAATGATTCTTGTTATTTTAGCTGGTTTCTTTTGGAGAAAATGGAAGTATTTTTGGGTTAATTAGGGTTTACTAGAAAAGGGTGAGGAAAAGAAAATAATGAATGCTAAGTGGATATTTTGGTAATTTAATGCATTCCATCATTTGACTTAATGACCAAGGGGTATTTGTCACAAATGAAAGTTCAAGAGGGTAATTGTCAGTTTGTCACTGACCCCATAGTATAGGGGGATGTTTGTAATTTACCAACTTAAAAACTAGCCATCAATCCACCACATGCAAGTGTAATAATGTTTATAAAATATATTATATGTAGTATTTATATTTTTTTTTTCGATATCTTGTGAAGGGCTACACAACAGGGGTAGCCCATCCCCCAACCCAGGTGCAGGCGGGATTCGATCCCAAGTTTCTGGTACAACCAGCATGAGACCATACCAACCAGCTGGTTGGCACCTTGCATTATATGTAGTATTTATATGACCTACAATATGACCTATAATATATATATATATATATATATATATATATATATATATATGCCACATCATCACGGTTTGACCTCTAGTTTGACCAGGGTTGAACCTTTGACCCATGAACCTCTCCCTTTTCCGATTTTATGCCTGGTCCAGTTCTCTGAACATTGGACCTAATTGTATGCATTTTCTTCCACCCAGTGATTTAAAAGGCATGCCTAGGTGCACAGGTGAGACGCATTTTGGGTATGCGCCTTGCCTAGGTCCTAGGCACACTCATTTTAAAAGGCGTATGCTTGATGCGCCTTGTGCCTCAGCCTAGGTGTGCGCCTTTTTAAAATTTTGCATTTTTTGCTTCTTTTTTTTATCCAACGGCTAGACTGGGGGCTCCGTCCCTGGACCCCCTGACCACACCTCTCGAGGCAAGCCCAAACAAGTCTATGTTAGGGTCTGAAATTCTTATTTATCACATAAAAAATAACAATTTTATAACTTTCATTGCCTTTTAGGAAGATCTATATAAATATATTAAGCTAAAATGTGTATGTAAGAAGGCTTGAGGATGAGGGAAATGGAATCTAATAGTATTCTTTGCCTTTTTTCATAGAAATTATAAGAATGCCACTCTTTACCAACTCTCTCTGTTTTGCTTTTTTTTTTCTTTCAAATTACAAGAATGCCACTCTCTCTTCAACTGAGGGAGACCTCAGCTCGGCATCTCGGTTGCTAGGGGACCTGCAATCAAAGGTAGTCGAGTTCGAGCCAATCCGAGCTTGAACTTCTAAGCTCAAGCTCAAGTCTCTAATTTGAATCAAGCTCGAGCTAAACGACACCTCGACCACTGAGGGAGACCTCGGCTCGGCACCTCGGTCACTGAGGGAGATCTCGGCTCAACGCCTCGACAACTGAGGGAGGCCTCAGCTCGACACCTTGTCAACTAAGGGAGACCTTAGCTTGACACCTCGCCTTCTAGGGAAACCTCAGCTCAACACTTCAGCAGCTAAGGGAGACCTCTACTCGGCACCTCGGCTGCTTGAGAGACCTGTAATCAAAGGTAGCCGAGCTCAAATTTCTGAGCTTTTGACTCGAGTCGAGCTCGAGCTCGAGCTCAAGTCTCTAATTCGAATCGAGCTTGAGCCTGATAGTTTATGAGCGAGCCCCTGCAACGCAGGGCGTCCTCCGCTTGTATTTTATTGCAATGAATGAATGAACAACATTAGCAAATAGGGGGTTTGCTACTTGAAGGCGACTCATAGAATCAAGAATGCAATATGTTTTACATCACATTAGTTACTTGAAGCAATGCAATTAAGGAAAAAAAGAGATTGTGGGTTTTACATGCTTGAAAATGCTTTATATGTTTGCTTTTATTTTTAAATTTTCATTTGATTATGCTTTACATGTTATGTTTATGTATTTTAATTTTAGATAATAGGTTTTTCAAAACATTTATTTTAAAATTTAAGTTTATATTTTTTATTAACATTANACCCCCTATTTGCTAATGTTGTTCATTCATTCATTCCAATAAAATATCTTCTTAAAAGGCAATTAAAGTTATAAAATCATTATTTTTATGTGAGAAATGAGAATTTAAGACCCTAACATGGACTTGTTCGAGCTTGCCTCGATGGGTGTGATACAAAGGCGACTCACAGACACAAGAATGCAATATATTTTACATCACATTAGCCACTTGAAGCAATGCAATTGAGGAAAAAAAGAGATTGTGGGTTTTACATGCTTGAAAATGCTTTATATGTTTGCTTTTATTTTTAAATTTTAATTTGAATACGCTTTACATGTTATGTTTATGTATTTTAATTTTAGATAATAGGTTTTTCAAAACATTTATTTTAAAATTTAAGTTTATATTTTTTATTAACATTATGTTTAATATTTTTATTGCATTTTTTTTTAAATTTTTGACACTTTTTTTTTTGAATTTTCTGACATTTTTTAACTTTTTTTTTTTGTAATTTTGCGCCTTTCTTAAAAAGGCACGCACCTTGCCTTGCGCCTTGCGCCTCAGGCGCAAATTTGCCCTTGCGCTTTTTTTGCGCTTTGTGCTTTTAAAACACTGCTTCCACCAAGCGGTCATTCTCAGTTTTGAACCCACCAATTGTCCAGCTTAAATCTACAAATATAATTAAGCTAGATACTGGAAATAGGCCAACTAGCAACAACCAATTGCAAATCTCTCTTGGTTGACTGGATGAAAGTCCTACTGTTGCACTACTGCAAAGCGGCATTTTGGTATTATTCCACCTTGATTGCCCTACTTCTATCTAATTATTTATCTATTTTTTGATAAATAACTGAAGCTTTTTCAAATATGCCTGTCTCACCATCAGTAAGGAATTCCATGGGATCACTTCCCAAGTTCTCATTGAGTCAAACTAACAATGATTTGACAATCTTCCTCCACCTCCACATCCTTCATACCACTCAAGCCCATCAATTTTAGCCCTTGAATCAAAGGATGCAGTTCATCTGTAAGAGAGTTAACAAAGCCAATTGGGTCAGAATAACTCGGTAAAATATTGCCATTGTGTTCCCTAAAAACTCCTCCAACACCTTATGCTTGGATTTCCAAAGCAGCACCCATTGAAGTTGAGGTTAAGTTTACCAACTGCTGGGACAGTCTAGTCAACCATTCTTTTTTGTCTGCTGATTTGGAATCCAGCGACAATCTGCCACCTCCTCAAGATGTCATTTAGAGAAATGCCTCTAAACTCTTCACATATTAAAGCCCTATGAGCAACTCTTCACATTTATGGGGTGAAGCCCCTAAATGCTTTTAATTACCATATGCTACAACACCTCCTTTTTCTTGGGGAAATTTCCAAATCATTTTCCCAATGAAGCCATATTTTTCTCCTTCACCTTCTCTATTCCTAGTCCACTTGCCTCCTTCAATTTGCATACCTTCTTCCAACTCATATGATGGTCTTTTTTGTCATTCCCAGGATGCCATAAAAAATTCCTGATTATTTTCTCAATTCTCAACACTACTTGTATGGGAGCTTTGAAAATGGATAAAAATAGATTGGGAGATTAGATGAATTAGACTTGATTAAAGTGACCCTCTTGCCCTTTGAGATACATTCTTTTTCCAAGTGGCCAGACTACATTTGGCCAAATTGATTCTCATCCTTGAGATCCTCTCCACAATTTCCAAAGTTGTAAGCGTTCTTACATTTTGTGTTCCCTTAAAGTCACCCAAAATCAATGTGTCATCTACAAATCACAGGTGAGACTGTGAGAGATCACTTGATTTAACCTACTCACTCTAAACCCTCTAAAAAGATCTCTCTCATCCACTCTCCTCAATAATTTGTCGAAGATGGGTTAGAATGGCTTTTTAAGGGTTGGGTGTGGCTGGATGGGTTAGAATTGCCGAGATTATTGGAAGATCTTAAGAATTGGGTCTAGAGGAGTTTTGAATTGGAGGAGATCAAGGAAGCAACTTTTTCTATGGATAGATCAAAAGCTCTTGGGCCGGCGGTTGGTTTCACAATGGCATTTTACCAAGATTGTTGGGGGACCCATTTATAGTTTGTAGATGATACTATCTTGTTTTGTGAAGGGGGAGATAGTAGGTGGACAAGAAATTTGAAATTGGTGGTTCATTTATTTGAGAGAATGTCAAACTTAAAGGTGAATCTTGATAAAAGTTGCATTGCAACGATCAGAGGTGTTTCAATGGCCTTCCATTTATTTATGGCTTCCTTTGGGTGACAATCAAAGATCTGTTAGTTCCTAGAACCCAGTGGTGAAAAGATTTACTAAAAGGTTGGTCTCTTGGAAGAAAAGCTATTTGTCTTTTTTTTGTGTGGGGGGGTCACATTTATTAGGTCTACTTTAGCCAATTTGCTTGTGCACTACCCGGTAGTGTTTAAATTCTAGGAGTGAGTGGAAAATTGGAAAAATTAATTAGGGACTTTTTGTGGGAGCCCGGTGAGGAGAAGGATCATAGGGTTCGGTGGGAGGTGGTGAGCAGGAGTAAGAAATTTGGGGGTCTTGGTGTTGGGAATATACAGAAAAGGAACATGGCTCTTTTAAATGGTTGTGGTGATTGCCTGCTGAAAAGGACAAATTGTGGGCAAAGGTGATTATAGCATTTCATAGGCTTGCAGCTTAACGGATGGGATGTTGGACTGTGGAATAGAGCAGCAAGAGCTTCATCATGGAACAGAGCATCCATGATATTCTTCTAGTTTTCCTTACCTTTTAGATACAATTGATGCTCGGATAACCGTGTCAAATTCTGGGAACATGTGTGGTTGGGTAACCTCCCTTTGAAGGAACAATTTCCTAATCTTTTTTAGCATGTCCATCATTAAGGATGAGCCCTTGTCTTCCTTTTTGTTACCTTCTAGCTCAAGTTCAGGCTATGCCTGGAATCCAGGGTTTAGAAGGGATCAAAGGGAGGCTGAATTTAGTAGTGTTTTAGTTTTACTTCATTATTTGGATGGGGTATTCTTGAACCGTTTAGAGTCGGATTGCAGGATCTGGTATATTGATTCTTCTAGATCCTTTTCCTGTGCTTTCCGGTTAAGGAGGTTTGGAATAAGCCTATTCCTCCTAGGGTAAGTGGTTTCTGTTGGAAAGTCTTCTTAGAAAGAATTAATACTTGTGGTCTTCTTCAAAGAAAGAGAGAAAATTGGTGCCTTTCCCCAAATTGGTGCATCCTTTGTAAGGCTGATGGTGAGACTTGCTAACATATTAATTTCCTACCCTTTTTCTTTCTATTTGGGAATGGTTTTTTTCTTTGTTTGGGTGCAGGTGGAACCCCCTTCCAAATGTTCAAGGCTTGTTTGATTCTTCTATTGTCAATTGGAGGAAGAGAAGGGGGAGAGCTCTTTGGAGGTGTACAGGAGCAGCAGTATGTTGGACAATATGGGAAGAAAGGAATCGGAGAAAAGGAGCATAGAAGCAATCATTGAAGCCATTACCATCAGAATGATCCATTGGGTTAAGTCCTTGAGAAGTTTTGATGATATTTCTCCACAAATGACCTGCTCATAAAGTGGAAGGAGGTGGCTGATTCTTCTCTTAAAAAGCTGTTATCAGGCCGGTTTGGGTCCCATCTCCTGGTGGGCTTATTAAGCTGAACTTTGATGGTAGTAGTGAGGGGAATCTGGGCCCTTCAGGTACTGGAAGGTGGTTTTTGGAATGAGGAGGGAGGAATTGTTGTCCTTTACTCGGGGCCAATAGATGTGGGAGACCCCTTGAGGACAGAAATCTTGGCTGTGATGGATGGGATCCAAAAAGCCAAGGAGCTGAATATGAGATTGATCGTAGGAAGAGATTCAAAGTTGGTAGTTAACTGGCTGCAAAAAGATGAGACTGGCTGGTGGAAATTTGTCAATGAAAGGAGGAAGTTTAAGTATTTAACGCAAGATGACAAGATATAGAGATAAAGTTGCAGTGGGTTAAAAGGAGTGCAAATGCCTTTGCCGATGATTTGGCAAAGCAAGGGGTGAGAAACTGAGAATAGATCAACTCTTCTGGGCTGTTTTGTACTTGCTGTATTCGTTTGTCATCTTGGAGAGAGCCAAGAGAGTTTATCTCTCTCCGAGATGCTCACTTGTATCTTTTTCATTAATTAATGAAAATTTCTGGTTATTGATAAAAAAAAATTTCTGAAGATCTCCACCACTAAAGTAAGCAGCATTGGTGATAAAGGGTCTCCCTATTGCAAGCTTCTAGTTGCATTAAAGAAATCTTTTCAGGAACCATTAATAAGAATAGAGAAGTGAGTGGTTATTAAATATCCCTATTGCAGTTGCGGTTTCCTCTTCTAGAAAGACAAGTGTTGCAAGGGAAAGGTCACCTCCAGATAGAGGGTAGTGGAAGTTGAATTCTGATGGGAGTAGTAAAGGTAACCCGAGGCCTTCTGGTATTGGAGGTGCAATAAGGAACAAGAGTGGAAATATCCTATGTATGTACTCAGGTCCCAAAGAAAGATTCAGTAAGGGCTGAGATAATGGCAGCAACTTTTGGAGTAAATAAAGCCAAGGAGATGGGAGCTCAAAGTCTGATTATTGAAGGTGACTCCAAGGTGGTTAGCAGTTGGCTTGTGGAGGAAGTAAAGGCTGCATGGTGCTTCAGAAATGAAATTAGAAAACTTAAATGGTTCTCAGAAGATTTGCAGGTTGAAATTCATGGGTACAGAGGTCAGCTAATATCCTGGCAGATGGATTGACAAAGTAGGGAGTTAATAGACAACAAATGTTTTGGGCTATGATGTAATTGTACGAGGGGTGGTTAGCTGAGGCTACAATTGCCCAAATCACATCCTTTTCCATCACCCATTGAAGGTATCTCAAATTCACTTGCATTTAATTATTCATCAGACATTCTGCAGTGCAGTGCACTAAGGAATTCCTGACCAAGCCAAACTCAAAGAATTGGAACATGAGCTCACATCCTCTGCTTATTAGCCCTCAGTCCATAATGATGAAGAGTTGCAAGTTGCAACTGTCTATAAAAGGGGTCTTGATAGTACTCTTAACATGCCAATAAATTGAAAAGATTGCAAAACAATGCCACTGTCCTTATCATCAAGTGTGCAATTTGACAAAGCCATTATTTCTGACACTATGCCTCAGCATGTAACTCAGTGTGCAATTTGACAAAGCCACAACAGTCATCAGGAGGATTGCAGCCTATTTTGAACTCTATATTGCACAAAATGGAAGGAAAAACTATTTCCAGTCATTTGGTTGCAACTGAGTTATCTCTATTCCAAACATGCAACCCAGAATAATGTAGGGAAGGTCCTCAAGAGCTTCATAATTTGGCTTTGCCACTTGTATTTTATGGCTCAAATGAACCAAAAATGCAACCTGTGCAATATCTGTCATAGTTTTCAAGGCGCCCAGGTAAACCTAGGTGACAGGGGAGCGCTTAGTCGCCTGGTCACCTAGGCGCATCTAAGAAAAAAAAGGGGATGAACCCCTGTTTTTGCTGTTGAAATAGAAATAACAGAAGGGTAGAGCCCCTATCTTTCTTCCAGAAAAAGAAACAGACCCCAGTTTTTTGTTCCAGAAGAAGAAGAAGAGGAGAGGAGGAGGAGGTGGAAAGAAGAAGGGGCAGTGGAAAGAAGAGGAGGAGAGAGGAGGAAAGAAGAAGGGGCGGAGCCCCTGTTTTTGTTCCAAAAAAAGAAAAAGAGGGGGCGGAGCCCCTGTTTTTGTTCCAAAAAAAGAAAAAGAAGGGGTGGAGCCCCTTATTTTTATTCCAGAAGAAGTATACCTTGTACATTTTGTGATCGACTTCCCATTCTTCTTCAAAGACATACAACTTGGAACCTTGATGAGGATATCCCTTGAACTCGTCTTTGAATATTGTTTATCTCGAACTCATCTTCGAATATTTTATCTATCATAAACCTTAAGAAGATAAGAAATTAATAAACAACTTATTATATTATGAAAGAAATAAAAATAATGATTCTTGCATCATGCTTATGTTTATATTATAGACTTAAAATATAAAAAATATTGAATGTGCAAAACTTACAACAGGTTATATGTGTGTGTATATATTATATACCCAAAAAGTGCCTACATGCCTAGGTGATGCCTTGACAACTATGATATCTGTATCAGTTACTTAAGCTTAAGAAGTTCAAAGTGAAAACTATGGTGCATAGGAATTTGTGGCATATTCAATATTCAAATTTGTTTTGATGAACTTTTCATGTTTGGTATGTCTCATTAATTCAACCTTCAAATGTAAGGTGCTATGTTTCACATAATACAAATTAATTTTCTGCCTCTAGACAACATTAATATGTACTTATTATAATGTACTAACCATTTCTCTGGCATGGCTTCTGTTAAGGTGGTGCATTTATACAGAAGGAAGTGGATTGAGGAAGGTACCTTTACCCGCTTTACCATGATTGGGCAGAGTTTTGGTTCAGTTTATCTCTCATGGGAAGCATTATGCAAATTTACCCCTTTATTTTACTTTGATACTAGTGGGTATGCTTTTACCTATCCACTTGCTCGGATGTTTGGGTGTAAAGTTATATGTTATACCCATTATCCAACAATCAGTTCAGATATGGTTTCTCGGGTTCGGGAACGGAATTCTATGTATAACAATGATGCTTTAATTGCACAAAGGTACATATCCTTGACCATCATAGCCTTATGGGACATCTTTTGCATGATCTATTTTCTGTATGTGGTTTAGGGAAGAATTTTTAAGTCAGGTTGTGAAAAGTGAAAGCACTTGCAGAGCTGTTCTCTGTGCTTCTAGTTACATGCCACAAGGTTTCAGGATATGCCATATAGTTGGCACACTTGGAGATCATCTAGGCAAGGGGATTGATCTATGGGCTTTGGTTTCAACTAACAAGAACTAGTTGGATGGCTAGGATCCTATAATCTGGTCAGTTGCTTTTCTGAAAAAACCCTGAGTAGTGCAGATTGACAATCTTGGTCATGTCTGTTCCTGCATAGGTGCCAAGAGTACCATAATGCCATTTGCAGAATATTTTTATGGCCCCAACAAAACCTACCTGTAGACATTAAAATTTTCATGGGCTCCTAAATGGGCCCTACCCCCATAAACTCAAATTTGCTCATGAGCCTCAGTATGGGTCATTCAATTTGGACCATACCCCATACTCTCAAATATGTGCATGGGCCTAACATTTGGGCTTTCCTATTACAAATCCATTAGCATGGTGGAAGGGTCCATGTGAGACCCACTTTGAAGTCAAACTAAAATTTAAATTTGAATTACAAATATTATTGATTTATGGAGATAATCCAACTAAAGCCCATCTCATGTCCTACAGATGGAAATTTAGTCAATAATTAAAGAGAGAAATTGATTAGAAATCATTCTCTCCATAAGTGGCAAATTGCCAATTTCCTTCTTTATGAAAGGTAACTAGAGCCAATCAAATCTCTAGTTAATCAAGGGTTTGTGGTAGAGAGTGAAATTAAGAATTTTAAATCCCTAACAAGGACTTGTTTGGGCTTGCCTCTAGGGGCTTGGTCAGGGGTTTGAGGCAGAGCCCCTGGCCCAACCACTACACCTACAAAACACCAAAAAGTGCAAAACATAAAAAAGGCACACGCACCTGGGCTGAGGCGCAAGGCACACTAGACACATGCCTAGGCAAGGTGCATACCTTGAAATGTGCCTTGCCTGCGGGCCTTTTAAATCACTGTCATAATGTACCACATGTGAGAATATCATTTCCATTCACATGTTCACCCATGACACATGGCAATGGGACCCACCAATTTTCAAATAAAAAAATGATAGCGATGATTATTTGTTAATTAGAAAATAAAAAATAAATAAAATGAAAGCATTCAACTTAAAAAATGGTCAACTCTTTTTTATCCACTCTCAATCTATTTAGTTCCAATAATGAAGTTGTATATGATGGAAAACGTTCATTCAAAAATTTATAAATTATTTTAAATTGAAAATAGACTAGAATATGTGTAAACCAGTGTTTTAAAAGCGCAAGGGCCAATTTGCACCTGAGGCACAAGGCACACGCCTTTTTTAAGCAAGGTGCAAAATTACAAAAAAAAAGCTAAAAAATAAAAAAAGTCAGAAATTTCAAAAAAAAGCCAAAAATTAAAAAATGCAAAAAATTCAAAAGAATAATAAACATAATGTTAATAAAAAGTATAAACTTAAAGTTTAAAAAACCTATTATCTAAAATTAAAATACATAAACATAACACGTAAAGCGTATTCAAATGAAAATTTAAAAATAAAAGCAAATATATAAAGCATTTTCAAGCATGTAAGACCTACAATCTCTTTTTTTTCTTAATTGCATTGCTTCAAGTAGCTAATGTGATGTAAAACATATTGCATTCTTGATTCTATGAGTCGCCTTTGTACCACACCCCTTGAGGCAAGCCCGAACAAGTCTATGTTAGGGTCTGAAATTCTTATTTCTCACATAAAAAATAATGATTTTATAACTTTCCCTGCCTTTTAAGAAGATATTTTATTGCAATGAATGAATGAACAACATTAGCAAATAGGGGGTTCTTAGGCGCACCTTTTAAATCACTGATGTAAACTAAGTAAAATGGTTGTAAACATAAAATAAAATTTCAAAAACATGGGCTTCTTATTAATACAAATGTGTGATAAAGAAATAAATATTATAAATTGACTTTGAAAGAAAAGGATTGTACTCCAATGTACTTATGATATATACATAAAAATTAAAAAATCATATGCGTTTTTAACTTTTTATATATACATAAATACATACATACATATGTATGTATGTATGTATGTATATATAATATAGTATAATATATATTTTGAGGCTTATGCCTTGCCTCTGCCTTTCACCTTTTTAAAGCCTTGCGTGCATCATATATAGTTTTTCACTTTTATATCTATTTGCATGTGCATAATATTTCTTTCCTATGTAGCATCTCACAATTCCTTCTTTTGTGGCAGTGTTTGGTTGTCTCTGTGCAAGGTTATCTAATATGCATTCTTTAGCTGGATGTATTGCTTGCATCATATATAGTTTTTCACTTTTATATCTATTTGCATGTGCATAATATTTCTTTCCTATGTAGCATCTCACAATTCCTTCTTTTGTGGCAGTTTTTGGTTGTCTCTGTGCAAGGTTATCTACTATGCATTCTTTAGCTGGATGTATGGGATTGTGGGCTCCTGTGCAGATGTTGCCATGGTTAATTCTTCATGGACACAATCTCATATAGAGAAGCTCTGGAAAATTCCTACACGTACTACTAGAGTTTATCCCCCTTGTGATACTTCAAGCCTTCAGGTCTGCCTTTCTTATCCACCCACAATTATTGTTTACTATGTTTTTGTATGATTTAAAAATAAGTGCATCATTCAATAATTTCTTCTATATATGAGGATTGGGCTAGGCTGGCCGTATTCTACCTTGGTACAAGGAGGGAGGGAGGGAGAGAGGGAGGATGTTTCCCAAATAATTAGTGCAGGTTGGAGGAAGTAGAATGCTGTTGACTGATAAATGTCAATGTGTCTGAAAGGAAATTATTTTTAGGAAAGCTATAATATTAGCCATGTTATATGGAGCAATCAGAACTCTGTAACTTACACAAGGGCCAGTGTCAAACATGGAAATGAATGTATCTGAGATAGGACTTGAACCCATGACAAGATTTGATAGGGCACAGCAGCAGGACAGGATTCATATAGTCAAGTAGTCAATCCCATTCTCACATTGTTTTCTTTCTCTTGTTTTCTCTCATGTTTGCATCATATGTAAGGCCGATGTTAGAATGCCAATTACATATTTCTCTCTTGATCTTTCTCAATGGGTATGTGGAACTACTTTCTCCCTTTATTTGGTTCTCAATGGATGCTCCCTTTATTTGGAGGCTCCTGACTTTGTTTTTCTCTCTCCTCTTACTAGAATAGGGAATTTTTCTATGAGAAGCATATACGGGTAGCGATTATTTGGAGTATTTGGATTGAAAGGAACTCGGATCCTTTTTTTGGTAATGTGAACAACCTTAAAAATAAAGAGAAAATAGAAGAAATTTGGAGAATAATAGTGTAAGAAGAGAGGGGAAAGGAGAGAACTAGGGTTGTGGCAGAGAGAGGAGAAGAGAATAACAACCTCTAACTGCCATGCCAATTTTTTATTAATAAATAAGTTGACTGCTATGACTCTTATGCCCCTACTTAAGTTGTTGTACACATAAGCAATAAAAAGAAAGGGTAAAAAGATCTCTATGCCCTGTGGCCTAAACCTGTTAATAAACAAAATAAAAATAAGTTTCTAACAAGTAACAAAATAAAAGGATTGCTTTTAAAAGTAGAAATCTCAAAAATATATAAAATATTCCATCTCAAGATCCTTTCCTTTTTTATTCATAAAATTTTTCTTGTTGCTGATCAAGTAAAAAAACTCCATCTCAAGTGGTAAGGATGGAAATTGATGAGGGGTAATTTGGTCCTCCAATTGACATCACGATACATGGCACCCCTAGACACCTAGATGACACCTCAACACTGAGTAAGCAGACCACCTCGGCAGAGTGGCTAGCATCGTCCAAGGCCGACCCATAGTACCTTGGCCTGGCCGACCTAATGTACCACGGTGTAAGGAGCGACCTCCTCTGAGGACCAGCTGAGCTGACTTGGAAACAGGTAGCGACCTGTAAGACGTGCTCGCCGACTTACTCTTTGAGCTCATTATCAAGACCGAATTCTCTTAGAGTAACAACGCTCTACTATTAAGCCCACCTACCCACATTGTTTGCCTCAAACTCAATTGAACGGATCTTAGCCCTTTGTGCGGATCAGACAATTGATAGAGATATTCTCTCCGAGCATAGCGGGAGCGGCTCTCCAGGAATCTTGGACCCGTTACTAGGGGCCTCCAACCCCCCACACCTATATAAAGGTATCATTTTTCTAAGAGGAGGTACATGCGATTCAGCTCTCGCACACTCTGATATCCTAAGCATTCTAATTTCTTCTAAAATTCCTAATTCGCTGACTTAAGCATTGGAGTACCCACCCCGGGTACTCTAAAACTATTTCCTTGCAGGTCTTTTTAGAGAACTGCACAATTCGCCAATCAACTTAGCTCGGCATTCGAGCTACCTCCTAGCTTGGCTTCCGAGTCACTTTCCAATAGGAAATCCTCCAGCTCGACATCCGAGTCATCAGCCAACAGGGAGCTTCCAGATTGTGCACCATCAGAAATGTATATAAAATAAAAACAAGAGAGAGTAAGCACATCCATTGAGGCTGACCAAAAGAACAATCAACAATGCGGAAACAAAACCTAATTTGACTTTTATATCCCAATACAATGAGCTCCTTACTACCCATTTCATGCCAAATCTTTGGTTGGAGTTGGCTAACCTTGTATTCATCCTATTTTCCAAATTTCTTGCCTCTAATGGTGTGTATTATGTTCATGGGCCAACTGACTGTGAGGCCCTCCATCCTATTAAGATTGTAATATCTTCCTCAATGCTAGGTTTGGTGTGCTTTCAGAATCATGGATCTCTTGGGATTTTGGCTTTAGAAGAGGGTTGAGGGAAAATGAGTRTGAGTCTCTAGTGCTGTTGATTTCAACACTTGAGAGGGTCTACTTGGACCAATCTATAGCTGATTGTAGAGTGTGGTCCCCAACTTCTGATGGTTTATTTTCCTGTGCATCTTTCTTTGGTTTGCTC